TACCACGTAACTATAGTATAACTAACTACTACTATATATATATATATATATATATATATATATATATACTACATATATATATATATATATATATATGTGTGTGTATATATATATATATATATATATAATTATATAGTACGTGCTAGATGCCTTCGATGTCTATCTGCAGATATAACCATTTGTAAACATATATATGTTTGTGTGTGTGTGTGTACACGTGCAAATGTGTGTATGTTTGTGAGCGTATGTGTAAGTGTTTGCGTCTGTTTATCTATGTATCCATGCATCTATGTGTTTACATATACGTGTCTGTGTATTATATATATATATGTATGTATATATGATTTATATATATATATACATGCGTTTGTGTATGTGTGACTGTATGTCTGTGATTGTGTCTGTTTGTATGCTTATACATCGTTATATATATATATATATATATGTGTGTGTGTTTGTGGATATAATGTCTTTCCCTATTTTTATCTATGTAAGCATGTATATATATGTGTGTGTGTGCATCTGTATATTTACGAAAATATATCTATATTTATATCTATCTATCTTTCTTTATACATCTTTATATATATATATATGTATATATATATATAAGTATGTTTGTATGTAACTATGTATTGATATTATTACGAAAGTATGTGGGTCTATATTATGTATATATTTTATATATATATATATATGATGTCTTTGTTGTCTTTTTCTGTATGCATGAATATATGATATATATGTGTATGTATATATATAGAGTGTGCGTGTATGTGTGTGTGTGTGTATGTATGTGTGGGGCAAAGTGTGAACTTCAATTAAAATCTTATGTGTCTGGACATGTCTACTATACTGTTAATTAAATAGCTCGAAAAGTACACCTATGGATGTGAATTGTAAAGTTTCTAAATAGATTGAATATTTTTTTATCGTGGCCGTATATTATGTTCATGGACACACCCATGCAATCATCTGTATGTATATATATATATATATTTGTCTGTGTGTATATGTGTATATATTGGTGAGTATTTGCTGACAATCCCGATTCCTTCTAAATACGTTTGCATTGGCTAGGGTTTGTATCTCCGTCGTGGTGCTACAAGGGTGTGTGAGACCAACAATTCAAGGCATTGATATGATCACGAATGAAGTACCTGTTCAAATCTATAAAAAAACTCGTATATACAGGACACATGCGTGATTTTTTCTATAGGTACGAACGCTATGGAGGTCTACGCCAATGTGATCACGTATATATATATTGATATTGATATTATATTATATTTGTATTTATAATTATATATAATATGTATCTGTTTTAGATATATACACCTCGACAGCCCCACTAAACATACACCCTTCCCATTCACATCCGCAGGAGTGCAAGAATTGCGACAAGACCTTTGTCCAGGAAAGCCAGCTGGAGTCCCACCTGAAACAGCACGTCTCTTGTGAGCATGATGGGTGCGAGTTTTCTGCTGCCAAGAAGGTGGTAGTAGTACATCGGGAAACGGTACATGGTAAGGAGAGCGGTCCACCGTCGGTAGCCGTACCATCGTTGGACACTCCGGAGGAGATTGAGGCCTGGAGGGAGGCGCGCAGACGCAATTGGCAGACGAAGATTGGTAGTAAACGCAAGCTGGAGCAAGGTGTGGGCTTATTTGTTGTGCATGTATGTGGTGGGGTGTCAAAAACTGTGTGTGTGATGTGCTTGTACCTGTGTACTTGGTTGTAGGCTATACGAGGAGGGTCTCTGTTTTCATGTGTTTTATTTTATGCTTAAACGACACTTTCTCTTGAGTGGTGTGTTATGATGTTGTACTTGATTTTAGGCTATCTGAGTAGGGTGTCTGCTATTCATGTATTACATTCTACGCTTATATTACTTTTTTTGATCTCGATGTATTGGCATACTAGAGTTACGTCTCTACTATACATGTAGCTTTGCACGTGCATAGCATGTCTAGTTTCTGATCTGTATGATGTTATTGTATCTCCTTCCCCTACATGTCCAGTGATCCTGGTTGTGTGTTTGATTGGGCATGTTTTCGTTGAATTACGAGGTAGTGTCATTTGAGGGTGGCATGTATCTACAAACGCCTTAAGAGATGCATACGCGGACATGTTGAAATTGTAGAATCATATGTGTTCCGGTTCTGATATAAATATATATACATAACATGGTTCTGATATATATACATATATGGTTTTGATATATTAATACCAATATATGATATGGTTTAGATATATATATATATATATATAACAAGGTTAGTTAAAAAGGTATTCTCTCCTTGACTCCACAGACACGAGCGCGTCATCAAAACGCCAAAACGTTAACGGGAACGCCCTCGCCGCGCTTTCAGGCTATGCAAGTGGTAGCGATTCCAATGAGGTATGCGTACGCTCTCATATAGGACGATAGGCACTACCAGTGTGGCGTATTACCGTACCAAATACCTGTCCTCATATGAGAAGATAGGGTTTACTTTGGGCCACTGCTATAGAGCTGCAACTGGTTACCTAGTTCCATCCGTGTAACAGATGTGTGTGCAGTGTCACGGTGGTCGCATACGCCTGCTGGTGTTGGTTCGTATTGGAATGCGTCTGTGTGTGGCAGAATTAGTGTCAGTGACTACACTATGCTCTCAGCTACCATCACATCTCTCGAGGCGGTCGTACTTTCGTGTCGCGGCAAATCTATCTACACTGTTTGTGTAAAGTACATGTGTTGTCATATAGTGTGCGCTGTTTGTGTTAAGTACATATGTTGGCATATAGTGTGTGTCAATGTGATGTGGATTTATGTGCGTGGCAACGCAAATGTGTGTCATGCTGAATATGTTCCAGCAAGTGCGTGTCTGTGCTGTGAGTAGCAACGCAAATGTGTATCCCTATTCCTATTCCTATCCCCGGCGATGATTTCTACCCTGAGCTCATTGGGGTTTGGTTGTATTATATGAACAGGAGACGAAAGCCAAGGATGACAAGAAGAAGCGTGTGTGCAAGTACTTCAACGGCAAACGAGGATGCAACAAAGGGGACAAGTGCCCCCTACTACACCAGGCATGTTTAGAATACTTGTCATATATGAGCCTCAAACATCTGTCCTTGTATAGCACTAGTGTACCGAAAATCTCTCAATAAGTTCATGTATGCCTCAACCTACATATCAAACAAGCCCCCATCCGCACGCTCGCTAAATCGGGGATAGTTTTAGGGTTTAGAACCCTAAAACCCACCATTGTATTTCGTAGGTAAAGTACTAAATCGACTGGTTCGATTGGCTTTTGCCTTAGGGTGGGACCTTCCTTCGTCTCTGAACACTCTCGGCACTCGGCTGCTTTGTTATCTCCACTCCATAGTATGACCATCGTCATCGTATCATTGGCTTACGCTGAGCCCACATACTCACAATCTCTTTCTATTTCTATTTGCGATAGTTACACACAAGCTCCTGCTGGTGTATATATATATGTGTGTGTGTAAGTCGCGTATACATGCACGTGGGGAACGATCACTTTACTATGCAAAGCATGCGTATGCGCCACTTCTTCCTCATGAACCCACACGGGAGAACAAACAAGCCGTACATATAAGGAAAGACCACTTTTGGCGCGAATCTATTCTATTTGTATTAAAGCTATCTGACGTAACCCCCTCTCCGTCATCTGCACAGAAGGTGCTAACATACGCACACTCATTTTTAATTAATACAGGCCAAAAAGAACGTGCTAACACAAACACACGCATACACTCCTTTTTAATAAGTACAGGCCAAAAAGAACGTGCCAACACACGCATACACTCCTTAATAAATACAGGCCAAAATAGTGCTAACACGCGCATACACTCTTTTTTAATAACCACAGGCCAAAAAGAACAAGCCTGGGCAAAAGAATAGGGTCGTTATCAAAGGCTCGCTCTTCGAACGTCTGGGCGGAGTGGTGGGGCCACAGCAGCAGCAGTACACCGAACTCATCCAGTGCATCCGACACATTGTTACCAACGGATTTCTGCAGTAGACCCTTGTGTATATATTTATGTATATGTATATGGCCGAGGGAGAGTTAGCTGCCACGGTTGAGTATAAGTATCTGTCCAAGGACAATACAGCTGAGCAAACATCAAGCGAACTAGCCTGCACAGTCTGACAGAGGATGCAAACCATGCATGTCAGAGAGCCTAATGAATGCCAGATAGCCTACTAAAGGCTACTCGGTATATATACAGAGAATGTTAGATAGGCTACTTTAGGCTACCTGAATATATACAGAGGATGCTAGATAGCCTACTTTAGGCTACTCGTATATATACAGAGGATACTAGATAGCCTCTACTTTAGGCTACTTTTGTGTGGATATAGAGGATGCTAGATAGCCTACTGTAGGCTACTAGTATGTTTACAGAGAATGCAGCTCGTAGACGCCATCAGTGCGGCGTGTCTGAAAGGACAAACACTTACCAATCGCACCTCAACAGCACACTCTGTTTCTCAATGGGGCGCCATCAGGCTGTGTGCGTGGACAGCCAGTCGGTCATGATCTGGCTGGAAACCGGTGTGATTTGATCTTTAGGTTATAAATAGATATTCACGTTGAGTTTGTCTCGGCGTAGGTGGGGCGAATGAATTCTGAGCTGGGTTCAAGGTTGTAGCTGGGTGTGCTTGGCGGGTCCCTGACGAAACCATGTACGGTTTGATTTCCAAACTATTCATAGATCTTAGAGTTGAGTGGGTCTTGGCGTGGGTGAGTTGATTCTGAGCTGACTGGAAGGGTGTAGGTAGGTAGGTGTGCCGGGCGACAATGCGCTTGTGCTGGGAAAGGCACTACAGCCACAGAAGACCACAGTCGAAGGCCCAGTGTTTTGTGGTTTGGGAGGGGGGAACAAATGGGGCCTTTTTGGTCTGACTGTTACCCGGCGACACGGGTGCTGCGGTTGGATCTAAACTAAACATAGTCATATGCATCTGAGTTGAGTTGCCTCAGTCTAAGCCATACGTACAAATGCATGCATACCTATACACATGCATAGTTATACTTATACTCAGGTGATACCTTGGGCACTACTGTTGCTATAGCGCTGAAGCCAGGTATCCTACAGGTACACTAGGCCGAGAGAATGGATCCTGAAGACACACAGAGGAAAGACCGTATGGTAGACTAGTGCCGAAACACTGGTACTATACGCACTGGTAGATTGAATTGACTACGCACAAATATAATAACCAGTTAAACGATGTGGATGTAGTGCATATAGCTTACCCACACATCTGGGGTGATCCACGTGTATCTTTCGCCGGGTTATGAGCATCGGTATTTGGGCATCATGTATGTCTTATTAAATTCATCTTAAGCACCTATATCATATTCCCGATCATAAATAACGGCGCACAGCCGCCGATAGTAATGTATATAGATTCGAGTGGCCGATTGCTTCTAGCCTGATATTAAAATAAAAATCAAGATACAAATAAGCAGAACAACTGTGATAGTCTCATATATATATCTTCATACATAGTATAAAAGAAACGTATGCACACGATACATATACACATATACGTTTTCATGTATTCAAACGTGTTATAACTTCTAACCTCCAAAACCCGTCGCCGTCAACTTCAAAATAGCCTTTAATAATTGCCTGAATATTACTAGGACACTTGCACGATAGCCTCCCCGCCACTAGTTGCCATGACAGCCGCCCAGCGTCGTCATGGCGCAAAAACGATTGCCACAGTATCACGCGTCCGTGTATCTACTAAAACCCCCTTGTTGTACGCGTTACCATGACAACAGCCCAGCGTAGGAATGTCCCACAGTACCGCGCGCACGTGTAACTATGGCAACCCTCTTATCATGCGCGTAATTCGCTCAGAAAGAACACCGTAACGATGAGATGCCGCAGTATTGGCCAGATCATACTACAGAGTGGGTTTCCTTTTTGTCTATTTATACAACCCTTCCGCAACATCTCGGGTACGTTTTTCAAAGTCACTAATACGTTTTCTCCATCCCTGACGCACTCGTACGGCCACCCTTTGCGCTTGCGTGACCGTATTAAATCGTTTTTGTTGTCCGTTTTCAGTGCATGTCCTTGCTAGGGTCCGCAAGATCGGCGACCTCCAACTCGTCGTCTTCGCTGTCTTCATCGCTCTCGCTGTAGGAACAATAAACAGGAGATATGAGATCGTTGTATTTTTATATTGATATTTACATTCATATATATGTATGTATGTATGTATGTATGTGTGTATGTATGTATGTATATATGTATGTATATGTATACGTATATGTATATATATATATATATATATATTGTATATAATGAGAATATAAAGAGGTCAGGTGCATATATACAAATACATGACTGAATCGCGCCCTGTTACAAAAAATTATGCGAGCCAAATATAAACTGTATAGAATCGAATTGCCCTGTGTTACAAACCCCCTTTAAAAGTATTTGTACCAATCCCAGTCACATAGATACACTACGCTGGATCACGAGACGCAGAACTACTTCTAAACACCGCGTACAACCCACACTGTAGATACTTGTACATGTATGGATCACAACGCTACAAACCCCCTGACTGCGCCCATTCTATATGCATGCATGGTGTATGTACACATGTTTTTGGATATTCAAACAATGTAAGGCCTGTACGTATATATGCATATGTATATATATATATATATATATATATATATGTGTGTGTGTGTGTGTGTATGTGTATGTATATGTATATGTATATATATGTATATGTATATGTATATGTATATGTATATGTATATGTATATATATATATACATATATATATATATATATATATATACAAGTACATATAAATGTGGGTGGCATATACGTATATATGTATTTACAAACAAGTACGTATAAAATGTGGGGAATCAAATGAAAAGTACGTTAATACAAAATTACCTGTCCAGTCCGGTGTGTTGAATATCATCGTCATGATCCTGTTGGGCCAAGGCGAGGTAACGGGCACGCCTATTGGAAAAGAAAAGTCGTGAAACATAGGGTGAGTACGCATACACTGACACTAGAAACAACTTATACATATAAGCATATGAAGTATGCATCGTGCCATTTATGTCATATGAAAACCCTGTAGCTATAGGTAGGTAATATAAAAAAAACTCGAAGAGAAGGGAATATAGAAGATGACAGTATAAACGTATAAGGTTCTGGCATGACAGTACGTTCTATAGATTAACGGATGTGCATAGACAAGCAGTACCAGCGCGACAAAGACTACTAGTTCAAATACACGATAAAAAGTAAGTACACAACGTTAATGATATTCATGGCCATCCATTGCGTCAAAAATGTGAGCCAAAAATATCTACAAGCCCATACATTATATATGAATACCCGGTACATGCCAAGATACGTTCCCGTAGACACACAGAAGTTCTAACTCATATACTTTTGAAAAGTAGTTCATCTAACTAGTATAATCTTGCGTGAATTTAAACCACCATCTTTGAACCCCACCCCCCCCCCCACCCACACACACACACCCACATTCTCAGGCACCACGATGGCCGCACCAGGAGGGTTACTACCAGACACGCAAAACCCTAAACCCTAAAAGCTCATGTAGACAGAATGGACCACTACATGAACAACCATACGCACGCACACACATGTACTTCAGACTACACACTATACACTGAAAGAAATACATAAACACTCATCACCTACCAGTAGTATGAACACACATACGCCCTTTACACTGAAAGAAATACATATCCACTTATCACCTACCAGTAGTATGAACACCCACACGCCCTTTACACTGAAAGAAATACATAAACACTCATCACCTACCAGTAGTATGAACACACATACGCCCTTTACACTGAAAGAAATACATATCCACTTATCACCTACCAGTAGAAAGAACACCCACACGCCCTTTACACTGAAAGAAATACATATCCACTCATCACCTACCAGTAGAATGAACACCCATACGCCCTTTACACTGAAAGAAAAACATATCCACTCATCACCTACCAGTAGTTCTTTTTGCGGTTGTACACATACGCCACAACGGCCACCAGAGCCACCGCCAAGATCGCCAGTACCACAGGCACCACTATGGCCGCCAGGGGGGTGCTCTTATCAGACTCACAGCTCACAAGCATTGATGAGATGTACTGATTCTCTACGCCACCCGAACACGAGTCCCCGGGAACGCGACGGTAGCCAGAGCTCTGGACGTACTCCTCCTCTCCGTTGGAGCAGGGGGCTACGGTGGACTGTGGGCGCGGTGAGGTTAAAAATAGGAGTAGATGAGTAAAGAGCAAGAGTAAGGGAGCGGCTTTGAAACAACTGTGTTCAGGCATGATCAGAGATGTCGCTGGTCGCTGCTTTGTAATGCACATGACACTCATGTTCACAGAGCTGCACGGTTACGCTCACAGTATAAACATTTACATGTACATGTACATGAAAATATTCTTAAATATATTCTTAAACATACACAACCTATAAACCTATACATATATGTAAACATATTCTTAAACCCCCATTCTTAAACATACGCAACCAACCCAGTCCCATTGCTTTCAAGCACGCACACACATATGCTTGGGAGCTCACCCCGGCACACCAACCATATTGAAGGACGCGTACTCCACACAGTGCTGGTCGATGTTGGGTCGGAAGTACCCGTAGTCGCACTCAAAGTCTTCCTTGGTACATGGACACGAGGTGTTGCTGGTCTCCAGCTCATAGTCCACGTCATTGAAACACTTGGCTGTGTTCTTGCGGCGTTTGTACACACGCTTGTGTCCCAACACACAACGCTGGTTGGAGATACGCCCGTCCGAAGGCGACCAGGAGGTGTAGTCTGCGTCTAGGCCTGAGGGTATGGAGAGGCGGTGTAGGGCAGAGAGGACGTGAGCTTAATCGAATGAGACAGTTGGTATACGAAGAGAGTACAACTATATGCATATATGTGCGGAAAGTAATATATAGCTATATGTATATAAGTGTAGAAGGTAATATATAGCTATGTGTTTTTTATATAAGTGTAGAATATAAGTGTAGATAGCATTATATAGCTATATGTATATAAGTGTAGAAAGTAATATATAGCTATATGTATATACGTGTACAAAGAAACATGTGGCTATATGTATACAAGTGTAGAAAGTATCATATAGCTATATATATAAAAGTGTAGAAAGTAATATATAGCTAGATGTGCACAAAGGTGGAAACGTACAGGGAGGCTTGTGTGAAGGGAGAGGGTGCATAGCTATGAGGACATGCGTACAATCCGATATAAACAGTGCGTCCAAGGTCGTCGCCAGTACCTGAATAAAATACACTACCCCCTATAAAACTTGAACTATACCCCCTATAGAACTAGAAGTTTAAGACTTCAAAAGGCCTTGTGTGTTCACGGAAAGCCCCATCAATGCACTGATAACCACACTTACAGGGTCGTCCCCGGCATTCTGTGATGATACACTAAACCCCCTATATCATTAGAATTTCTAGCCTTCAAATAGCTCTTCTAAACTCACAAAAAAGCCCTATCCGTGTACTACTAACCACACTCACAGAGTCGCCCCAGGCACTCTGTGAGAATACACTATACCCCCTATATCATTCCAATTTCTAGCCTCTAAATAGGCCTTCTAAACTCACGAAAAGGCCCTACCAACGTACTACCCCCCACACTTACAAGGTCGTCCCAGATACTCGGTAAAGTCCAGCGTAGTGATGGTCCAGTGGCCACCGGCGTCATTGCCCCAGATGTTGAACACACGCGTCTGAAACCCGGGCTTGGCCAGAACACGCACTATGGTAATAGGTACATCGGTGAACTGGAAACTCTCCCAACTACGCCCCATATCCCACGAGAAGAGGATGCTGTTCTGTTTCTTGCCCACAGGAATGGCTACCAGCAAGCCACCGTGGTCCGCTACGGCGAAGGTGTAGGCTCCGTCAAGGATCTGTATGAACGCGAACGTTTTAGTGCGTTGTAGTAATGTTAGTTATAGAGATTAACAGCCGTACGTTGGAGGTAGATTGTGTGTATTGTATACACCTGTGAGTATCTGTATGAACAAAGTGAATTGTAGTGCCGTTAGTATATAGACTATAGGGAACACTTTGGAAGTAGATTGTGTGTAATGTATACACCTGTGTGTGTACGTTTAAATGAGTTGTAGTGCTGTTAGTATATAGACTATAATGAGTACGTTGGAAGTAGACTGTGTATATTATATACACCTGTGATTCGTCTTAGACAGGTGGTGTCTCGAGTACTGTTCAGTTAAGATACTTGCAGACGAGCATGTTTTTAGGGTTTAGGGTTAACTAGCACGCCATCATGGTCCACTACAGCGAAGGTGTGGATAGCGTAGAGGATCGGGGAGTACACACACTATAAGCAATCGAAAGCTGGTAGAGTATCGAGAATCAGCAGAAGCAGGCACATTGCGGACGCGAATATATTTTACTATAGTGTCTGGGAATAGAATGTTATGATAGAGAATATATAACACATACTATAGTACAAGAGAAACCACCGCCATTCCGGGACAGAAACAGACTGGTCTGTACGTTGGTCGACTGGTATCGACTGATAGTTCCGTGCGCAATGACCACAGCCACATACATACACTTATACATACACATTAACGAATACCACAGACAGATAGATACACATTAACGAATACCACAGACAGATAGATACACATTAACGAATACCACAGACAGATAGATAAAACATATAAAAAACAGATATATATATATATATAGCATATCACCATACCATAGTCCAAGTGAAACCGCCATCTCGGGACAAGAACAGGCTGGTCTGTGCATTGGTCGACAGATATCGACCGATCGTTCCGTGCGCAATGACTAGCCCTGCCGCATTCTCGAGACTGAAGATGGGCTGTAGCCCCATAGTGGCTTGGGAGACGTAGTTGTGCAGTTGCAAGTAGCACTCCTGTGTGTGGGAAGACGACATGTTATGTTATATGTGAGCACGGTGTGTGCGTTCGAGATGATAGATAAGATGGTCGTGTGTGTGTGGTGAAATGATATATGCTTAAGGTTGATGTGTGATAGATAGATGGTGTGTGTGTGATGACATGATGTATGTTAAGGTTGATGTGTGATAAATGGATGGTGTGTGATAAATGGATGGTGTGTGTGTGGTGACATAAAATATGTTTAAGGTTGATGCGTGATAAATAGATGGTGTGTGTGTGGTGACAAGATAATTATTTAAGGTTGATGTGTGATAAATAAATGGTGTGTATGGTGACATGATATATGTTTAAGGTTGCTGTGTGTGACAGGGGCTGGGGTTGGCACCAACGGCATGTGTGATTGGCCGGTGAAGCGTGTTTGAGAAGCTTTAACACACGTGTGTTTACCTGTGCGGGTGGTAGTAGCACAAAAAGAATGCACACGAACGCACAAGCTGTCGACACACCACGCCTCACAGGAGCATCAAATACACAACATACATCACAGCCAACATCGGCCCCATCCGAATCCACCGTCGGGGCGATGATGGGTCGCCACTCGCCTCCCTTGTTAAAGGTGATGACAGTTCGGAACTCCTGCATGTAGGTACCCTCCTCTATGACCAGCTGGTTGGTGATGTACGTGCCTACGATACTGGCCACTTTATGGAAATCGTTGCGCAGAGATTGCAGATAGAGATTGTCCGTCAGCGATAGAGAATACGATGTACCGGAGGAGTCAGAGGTGTAGAGGTTGCCCTGTGGGTGTGAGTTTGGGTGTGGGTGGGGAAGTGGGAGAAGACAGAAGCAGAATGTCAGCAATCAATAGTCCTGTGTTTATGTATACGAATGTACGTGTATGTGAAGTAGAAGGATATATATGAATATGGTATATATGATGTAGGACAATATATACGAATATATGTATATAGGAAGTAAAAGAATGTATACGAATATATGTATATATGAAGCAGAAGAATATATACGAATATAAGAATATAGGAAGTAGAAGAATATATACGAACATACGTATATAAGAAGTAGAAGAAAATAGCCAAGTATCAATCAATTGTACTACAGTTATGTGTATACAAATCTGTGTATATATGAAGTAGAATAATATATGAGTATATGTATATAAGAAGTACAAGAATATAAACCAATATATGCATATAGGAAGTAGAAGGCAGAAGAAATTTGTCAGCAATTGTACTTCAGTCCTATATACGAATATACAAAATTGGGAAGTGGAAGCAGAAAGTACAAGAATTGTATAAATATATATATACATGAATATATAATCCGAGTATGGTTTGAATCAAATGTTCGCATACATCCGCCAATGAACTACGCAATTTATACGTAACCCCACAAAAGTGCTCTAAAAGAAGAGTTTGTCGTTTATCTAGGAGGGGGGGGGGGGGGGATTAGTGGGTTTATCACTAAAGTGAACTTCTATTTAACCCCTTCTAACCGTCAAATCAATTTCGCGCAGGTCTGTATGTAGCCCCCCCCTAACTCTGGTAGGTCATTAGACGCGATCCTGTGCACAGTCCTTTCTTCCTCGGCAATATAGTTATCCACTCATAAACTACCCCGTGTAATCACTGTGTGCAACAGCATTCACATATACTGCCCTCGAGTAGTATACAATCAACATACACACACAACCAAACACGTATACCTATGAACCTGTATAGAACACATATATACTACACCAACGCACACACTTGACAATACAACAAACTCCTAAGTCATGTTGCTATATACCGTGTGCAATCCCTTGCCATCGGCATTGTCGTTGTCCACATTGATGAACACACTACCCTCACTGGCATCGAGGATCTGGTAACCCAACTCCGTAGTCTCGAGCTCAGCAAGAGCCAGATCCCGCTTGACCTTGATTTCTACTGGGAAATGCGCGTGATTCCAGGTATCGCCCCCGTCTGTGCTGACTCGCATCTCCATTGTGTTGGCCTGTGGGGTAAACACGGATGTATGTATATACGTAAATAAG